TAACTTGGAATTAGGAACGGAATTGAGGATTTTTCCCATACACCCCGTTATCCTTACCAAAGAATTTTGTGTATGAGTATTTTAGGATGCAACCAACCATCCATATTATAGCTCCTCGACTAAGACGACAACGCTCGCGAAGATTTTGGCTTGCTGTATGAGACACCTTTTGCATGATGCATAGCGCTTGTGATTCAGACTAAAGTCCCAACATTGCGCTAGCCCATATAGAACTATTTTTTGTTGTTATAGATTTAGATTTGTCACCAACGATTTCACTTCGATATCCAGAATCTGGAATTTCTTCTTATACTCTTTGTGTCGATAATGTAATTAAGTTTTTCTCACAATTCCCATTGGGTAGAAATTCTACCTTATTGAAACAGCTATGCCCCAAAACAAGAGGTCCGATACATGAGGTATTTTTTAGGAAAACAAAGAAAGATGAAATACTCAACAGAATCACTGGGTTTGAGTAAAGACTCAACAAGAGGTCCGATACATGCATGAGGTCTTCAATAGGTTGAACTAAAGTACAATTTATGTTTTAGACAAGCACATATATAATATAATTAGAAGCTAGTGTTAATTTTTTCTCGTTGACTATAACGTATTAGTTGTATATTAATTAAAGATTAATTTGGCCAATTTGTTTCATGAAAGGGCTGCTTCATATATATATGTATAAGATATCAAATTTAAATGATTTTTGTTTGTTCTTAAAAAAGCTATATGGTCTTTTGTATAGTTAATGGGACAATGTATCGTCATTGTTCCTTTCAAAAGAAAGTATATAATTTCGGTTATAATAGTAAGAAAGACACATTTCCTAAAAAGTATATCATCAATTTACGTGGTGATACTTTACCATTTTATAAGTTTTCCACGTCTTGCGCAAGGTAAATTAAGATTACCACTTATATATGGTGAAGTGCAAGTTCCTATCAATTGAATTCACCAACAAATTCAAACGAGTTAAGTTTTGTTCAAGAACTATATGACTAAAAAGTGCATTCAATACAAGTAAACTGAAATTCACAAACAAATCCAAAGAAATATACAGCATCGAAAGTTGCTCTAATTTAAAAAAGTGCATATAAGAGCTCCCAACGTCAGTGCATATAAATCTTCAGCATGGACTCTACTTGTACAAGTCTATTGGAATTGTCAAAGCTACATACTATACACCTCACTTAATATTCCTAAGAACAATGATCACTGAATCCCCATGGAGAAACATCTTGCTGATGATAATCTATCCTTCCTTGTTAACGGGTTGAGCCTTTTTTCTTGCCTTTTCCAGTCTTTGGCACCTGCACTGCATACACACACACACACAAAAAGAAAAAAAAAAGAAAAAAAAAAGATCACACAAATATCACGAGAAAAAAGAAATTTGATGATTGATGAAGATCTACCAACCAACATAAAAGAAGACAGAACTGAATAGTGGAACAAAACCCGAGAGAGAAAAATCAAAGGGGTTTCAGAATGAGGAGTAATCGGGGGCCCATCTCTTCTTTGGTGTTTTTTTCTTTCAACATATAAATGCAATTTTCCTTCTGAAACCCTAACTCTAACAAGAGCCGTCTTCCAGCCCCTCTCTCTCGCTCAGACTTCTTCTTCAATCCTCATCTCTCTGTCTCTCGCTCATAGCACCATCGTGATCTCTTCCCTGACCTTGGAGATTCCAAAATGGCGTTTTTTTTTTCTAGGCTCAGCGCCCGCCTAGCCCGCCCGCCTATACTGCCTAGAGCCCGCCTAGCCCCCGCCTAGAACATAGAGATGTTGGCCACCATCTGCATATACCCTCATGTCGCCCGCCTAGACCGCCTAGCGACCGCCTAGCCCCAGCCTAGCCAGCCTAGACCCCGCCTAGAACATAGAGATCTTGGCCACCATCTGCATATACCCTCATGTCCATTAGCTCCCCAAACTACATGACGCAACCTCTCCCTCCGTTTGAAATCTCCATGTTACAATAAGCAGTGCAAGAACAGTTCTCCAAACACTTCTCTTTACATACCTCAAGGCTCATCTCCCACAAATGCAAACACCCCGACTCTCAGGCAATTTCACTCCTCAACCTCAAGAACTTGTCTTTCGTGCATTACAGTTCTCGTTTTCTCACACACCCATCAAACCCATTTTCCAAATTCCAAGCCTCCAAATTCTTAGGCTGAAACCCACTCACACATTTACACACAGGTGAAGCATTTGTGTCACAAATACCAAATGGGACCACACTCTCCATAGCTGTCACATTGGTCCTTTTGGGGATACTGAAATATATTTCACATCTTTGTGCTCTCAACCCATGTAATCTGTTGAACGTCCTCATTTGGACTCACTGTCAAGCCTGAATATTAGACCTCATCTTGTTTCGTAACGAAGTTGAAATCGACACCATGCTTCGAAGCACACATTTCCGGGGCACCACTAAATATCATCCCATTCCAGGGGCCGGTTCGAAAGTTTTTAACATGTTTGTCCCAAAGGAAAATCTCCGGGAAGCCATGGTGATCTAGTTTGATAGAAAAGTCCCCTGTTGACGGGTCCTCTGAGCTTTTCCACGAGGTCAAGCAAGTACCTGTTTAAAACTGTGCTCAACTTCCATCCAAGCTTCATATCCGGAAGCAGAACGTGTGTGGGATAATCAAAGCTCTGCCAGAAAAATGTTTGGCTGTTTTCGGTTCCTTCTTTGATCACAAGATTGCCTATATCCAAAAGCAGGACATTTGGTCTCAAAACTTGGGTGTGATTGGAGGACCAAGTGACATTTCCAGATGGATCAAGAAGGACAATGTTTCCATGTTCACCAGTCATCAAAAGAGCTCCTGATGAATTTGAAAGTGGGGTGTCTATGTTGGTCACCCAAACAACTGTTCTGTTTTGGACATTTTTGTACCATATATATGCCCAAGTACCAGCCTGAAATATTGCCTGGCTTGAAGAAACCCAACTCAAAGACTTCACAGGGGGAGACAATGGTCATGTTTCCTTCGACAATTAATTAATATATTATAAATATTGTATATGTATGCCTTGCCTTCCTCACTTATTTTTGCTGTGACCAACCAATTAACAGATGTACAAGTGAAGTGAATACATCATGTCTGTACTCTGTACATGTATTAAATGAAAGAAGTTGGCCTAAAAACAAAAGCAAAGAAACTAACTTTATATATATTAAAAAAATTAAATGAAAAAAAAAAAAGCAAAAACACCTCTCCAGATGAAATATGGTCAATACAGGTCTATGCCGGCAAATATTTGCCGAATTAGACCTCTCCCAAAGAAAATTAGCTCTGCCGACAAAATTTCGTCACGAGAGGTTTTTAAAAAATAAATAAATAAAAACTTATTATCTTTAGATGAATATTTTTTTTTCAAATTTTATTTTAAGTAATTAAATAATATCATAGCCTTATTTATTTAATTTCATTAGTATATATTTAGTGAATAATTAGTACTAAACATTTTAATTAGCTCCACAAATTATATTACTTAATAAATAGCATTTTATTTTTTATTATTTTCTTTAATAAAATATTTAAATACTAATTATTCTCTAAGTAAATAATAATTAAAACATAACTACTAATTAAAGTAATGTAAAAAGAGAAATAATTAAAGTAATTTAAAAAGAGAAATCCAGATATTGCTATTTAAAGGGTATAGCCGCCCGGCTATACTTTTTAAAGTAGTCTATTTAAAGGTTTCTACAGTTTCTTCTGCTTGTCATACCATTATTAATCACATGTGTGCCTCTAGTACTTTGGCCAAGGGTCATATGTCGAATAAGGTGCGTGACTTGTGTACTATTCGTTCTTTTGGGGTGCGTTGTAGACCCAACCCCAATCCCAAAATTATTGAGGTTACGTGGCATCCCCCTTGCTTTGGTTCGGTCAAAATTAATACTGATGGCACTCGCAAAAGTAACTTTGGTAAAGTAGGTAGTGGTGGTGTGTTTCGAGATTATCATGGTTGTGTACTTAGGGCATTTTGCTCCAATTTAGATGTCCCTAGTGCAATACATGTTGAAGTTTTAGATGTCATCAAGGCCATTAAGCTTGCTTG